GGCAGAAGTCAAAATGACAATATTCCCTATTCTCCCAATGAAAAAAAAAAAAGAATGGAAATGCAGTACTCTTTGCTAATTTAATTACAATCTTGACTTAAATTTAGAAACTGGTACTTTCTAGAGTAATGTTTATTAAGTTTTCCCTACTGTGACCTGCCCTGCATGAAATTCTCTAGGTTCTCAAGACCAGGTGGTGGTGAAGCACTGAAGATGACTCACCTGACCAAGGGGCTCCATCGAGGGAGCTCCTGGCTGATTTGCCGTTGCCTTTCACCCACCCAACAAGCTCAGCTTCCCAGCTTTCGCAGTGCAGGACAAACATTGCGATGGTTATTTTGCTCTTGAGAGTTCAGATGACAATAGTCTTGAGTGAAGATAGAGTATTTGCTGGATTGTCAACAGCAAAACCCTCTCTTGGTGTCAGAACATAGCTTCCTGCATCCCTGTCTCTCTTAATCATCTGTAAATACTCTGAGGTCTACAAGGAAAACAACTAATAGATTTTAGTTGCTAAACCAAGATATTAGCAGTAAAAGAGTATTTTTTTGCAAGGTTGAACCTGTCTCCTGATGAAATAAGAAATCATTGAGTAAAGTTTCTCAATGGTCTCATGGTTTGTGATTCCACTTAATTAAATATACTTTCTTACAACGTGAATATTCTTCAGCTAAATATGTTTTTGAATTTTTAGAAAGAATATTTTGAATTTTTATTTTATTTTGCAGAACTACTATCATATCTTTTTGTTTTTAGATCAAGTCTTACATGGCTCATTGCATCTATGTGTAGCAAAAAATGGATCTATATATCTTCTATGGTTCAGAATGAACACTTTTTTAAAAACGTGCTCTGTAAAGACTTGTTTAAGTATGGATTTAGTTCTTGAAAGCTAACCTTAGCATTGCCCTGGCCTGTATGACTTTGACTTGGAAATTAGCATTGCAGAGTTCAGAGAACACACTTTCCTCAAAAATATTTTCCCAAGATGCTGTGATGGCTTCAGCAACTGCTATTTTTGGACCAGTTCATTTAAAATTACTCACTTGTGGAGTTTTTAGCAAGTATATTTTACAAAGAACATGCTTGAGTCTTTTTTGTTTGTATGTGAAAGTAGACATATTTTCACCTTTTTCTTTAAAGACGTTGAAAATTGTCATATTTTTGGACTTGAGTAAGATGTTGTGAATTTTATTGCCTTTATGTGGATAGGTGCTGGCATTTAAGGAATCTCACTGTTGGCTCTCAGTCTCTGAGTCTAAAAAAAGCCTTTTTTGGAATGTTTTTTGCTTGTGCTAGCTTTAGTTTATTATTACAAATGATCACCTTGCCGTGTCCAGTTTGACTTGCTATAGAAACTGGCATGACAATTGAGGGTTCTTCTGGGGTTTCAAAATTCAGCTGGCAATTTAACTTCAGTGTTCTGCGCCTTACAGAGCTAGTAACCAGCTTGCCTTTTAGCTGCCTTTTGGAACTGAGGCATGGAGACTTGGAGAACTTAGCCTGAGAATCTCCATTGAAGATGTTATTACTGAGGCTTTGTTATCACACATTACCAGTGACTGGCACATTAAACAGTATACAAAAACTGAGTATCTTTCTTGACATGGCAAACATTATCTGTTTTGGATTGCTGAATTTTTCCTTTTCAGGAGAGTCCAATACCAAGGTAGTGTCTTCCATAAAATTTATATCATCTGACTAGCTTGTCTTTCTGATAGATTCCTGGTGATGAGACAGATTCAGGTTTGAAGGTTAAAGATGTTTTATCCTATAAGTATTAGTTCTTGTTTACAAATAATGAAGTCTGTAATCTTTTTCATCCTAATTCTTGGATCATTAATTCCGGTAGATGTGAAGTGTGGTGTGTGAAAAATGACATGAATTTACTGGCCATCAGATTTTCAAAGCTAGGACTTAAAGTCAATACTCTTTTCCTTTAAAGCATTCACCTGTTTTGCTGCCTTGTTCTTTTTCTTGGAGAAGAAATTAAAGTAATGGTTTTGCTTTTAGAAACACATTTACATAAGTAATAAACCTTAGAAAAGGGCACAGGAATGATTGAATAAAATCATTTTGTTGATTAGACATTAAAAGTAGCAGCTAAAATAACACACAGCAAGCTATACAAGGTAATACCTTTATTATTCTTTTTAGGACTAGAGCTGGCCACAAGATCTCCCAAAAGATTATGAGCTGATAAATTTCTCACTTGTGACATGACAAATTAGTTGCAACTTTGTTTTACTTGAATAGCCTTCATACTAGAAGGAGAGTGTTCATGTTAATATTTGTTTGTCTGGGCTTTTTCTCATTGAAGTCACGCGGCTGAAACCATCAGAGTGTCTGAATGTGATAGCTGGCTTAAACTGCTGTTCAGGCTTTAGAATACTCAGGGAATGGCTTTTCCCTCTGAGGGTGACGAAGCCCTGGAACAGGCTGCCCAGGGAGGTTGTGGAGTCTCCTTCTCTGGAGATATTCAAGACCCGCCTGGACAAGGTCCTCTGCAGCCTACTGTATGTGACCCTGCTTTGACAGGAGGGTTGGACTAGATGACCCACCGAGGTGCCTTCCAAACCCTACCATTCTGTGATTCTGTGTAAAATGTGAATAGAACAGTAATGATCTTTCAGAATCAGATGATGTATTTGTCAAGAAATCCCATTTCCCACTATTATTTATAATAAGCCAGAAGTCAGTGTAACATATGGAGGTGAAATTTCTGATGTGTGTACCACATACATACATGGGATGCCAAGAGCTGAGGACTGAGGAATCTGGTATGTCACTATGGGAAAGTTTTCAGAAGAGGTAAAGAGGAAAGAAGTATTTGAAGGTGAGATGCAAAGAATAGAAAATTTCTTCCCATATGATACCTAAGAGATTTGAAGGAAGCCAAAGTTAAGAGTCGGTGTTCAAAAATACCGTGTTGTTTTTCTAATGACTTTTTGTCTCTGACCTTTGAGGATTTAGGAAAATACTTGGGGCAGACTAACTTCCCTAGTCAGCTGACATGAAAATATAGCTAGGCTTGGAACTGTGTCATTGAAATCTATGAAGTTTTGTCTTAGTAGATGACTTCTTCCTTCAGTGTCAGCCTCATAAAGTCCATGTGTATAAAGAATGGACGGAAATAGTATTTATAAAAATGGAATATTTTGAGGTAGGAATATCTGTCTGAAACATTTGGTACGCATCCGATAGCATGCAAAGGTAAGTTGCCTCATTTAGGGAGTAATTCCATGTAAATGCTATGAGAAATGGTGCCACTGAAGTTTAATATCTACCAAAATGTAGATGTGTAACATGGTAATGAAAATGTTTGCTCCAGACATGGCTGTAAAATCTCCACAGTTTTCGTTGCTACATAATCAATTTAAGAATGCATACAGACATGAAAAGTTATGATATAATCGACTAGGCTTTGTAAAATACATGATAAAGCTATTCAGAAAGTGTAATAAAATAAAAGCTACAAAATTGGATTCTTTAAAATTAAGAAAGTAAGGAGAAATAAATTTTATTTCTTCTCTGAAATGCTTTTTAAAAATATCATATTCATTGCTTTAAGAAAACGAAAGGAAATTGTGCACTATGGGAAGTACAGGAAAAAATCTGAATTTAGGGAGTGGCAGGGGAAATATTCTCCACGATCTAATGTTATGTATTGTTGTTCATTCACAAGATTTTATTGTTTTGATTTCTTTTATAGTTGTGCAGATTATGTAGATTTTTTTATTATCTATTTAAATTTAAGGTTATTATGTCTGCTGAGAAATCGATGAGCAACATAAATATTGGTTCTATAAGGAAATGTTACGTGACATGTCTGTCTGTTATGTTGCTTGTCCGAAATGGAGGCGTGATGCAACCATCTGAAACACAGAGAACATACACATAACCCCCTCGCAGCGTGGCAGTATATTTTCCCCTTAATTTTCAATGCATTTGTTTTTTTGTGGGCAGAACTGCTTCATAATTTGTTTTGTAATTCATGCTCACCGTGAGTGAAGACCAACTGTAGCTTTCAGTCTGAAAAACAAGAATGACTTCACCTTGTGGCTTGGCACACAGGGTGCAAAGTGTGACAGGAGGTGCATGGCCAAGAGGAGCAGAGGGGGTTTAGGAATTAGGAGGTGGCGTTGGAAGGATGCGCAGTGCGAAAGGCAGCAGAGAATCTGGTACTGCAGGTGTTAAGAGGCGAGTAATAACATGGGACCTTAAAATAATGACAGGAAATTAAAGAGAAAGAAATGGCTAGGCAGTAAAAGACGGGATATGAAGAAGAAGAGAGACTGGAGTGGTAAGAAAAGAGCTTTAGCACCAGCGGAAAAATGAGTTCTGTCGAGAGCTTAGCCACAAGGCGGAGTTTGAAACATTGGTAGTACACGTTTAGGTAACTGAATATGCTTTTACTGGTAGCTGGCAGAATAGGTTGAAAGTCACTACGCCAGGAGTGATAGTTAAAGATAATAAAATCAGCAGGCAAAGTTGAACTCAAACTGCAGCTCCTAAGAGGAGCTCATAATGCCCTGTATTAGTCCCAAGGAGGTTTTTAAGCCTTCAGCATGACCTGCAGCATGTACTCTGTCGATTGTGTAGTCACAATGTGTGTTGTGTTTACATTTTCTAGGCTTCATTTGTAAACTAATTTGGAAGGTGGGGAAAAATTATTATTAACTTAATAAAGTGTTTGTTTTTCTACGTAAATTTTGCAGTAATTTTTGAAATGCAGGCTATTGCCATACCCTTAATGCATTCTGTTGTATTTTATGAGTCTTGGCCAAAAGAAAGATCTGAGTGATATGTTTCTTTGCTAAAAGAAAGCTTAAAAAAGGGAACTGAAAAAAAAAAAAATAGAGTGGTCTAGTATTTTCTAGACAACTGAGCAGAAGCATAGATCTCTTTTACATGGTAGAACAATATTAATTTGCCCAGGGAACTGACGAGTAGGAAGAGAAAACTTACTGATCTAAAAATGCCTGTTGTTTTGTTCCTAGGTTCCGACATTGTTCAATGGTTAACGAAGAACTTATCAATAGAAGACCCAGGTAATTTCTCTTTTTTTTTCATCTGAAAATTCTAGTTTTTCTTTTTAAATGATTGGACTCGACTTTGTCTTCTGTTGCAGTGAGGGTGGCCAGGCAGCATTTGACCAGTATAATTTCAATATCAAAACAGGCAGCATGATACCTTAGAAACCTTTGCTAAGAATCTGAGAATTTTGGTTATCCATTTTATTGGAGCAGGTACCAGGAAACAAGATGATAGCCAGGAATGAAAATGATAGCTGCTTTACTTAGTAGAAAATGAGTTTAAGTGACATGATAAATAGTTTGTTAATCATGTGCTGTTTTCCTAACAGAATTTTTCAACTTGTAAAAAATAAATGAAAGTAAAATAATACAGTCTTGTAGTGTTACCAACAGCTGCTTATCTATTCTTAAGTGTGGACGCTTTTATAGCATCTTAAGCAGAAAGTGAACTGTAAATAAAATCAGTGCGGTGAGGAAGAATAGTTAATAATCAGCTGGGTTGGAACATGGAAGTAAAGCCATAGGTTTATTGTGTGGCCAGCAGCAAATGCAGTTTGATGTGTATCTGATATTTATTTCACTGATTTACATGAATCTTGTTACATGATATGGAATTCTCTGGAAAGGAATGATTTCTAGTAGTACATGCTGAATGGCAGAAATAAAATATTCTGTGGAAGTTCGTATTATCTTTTGGTTAGGGGAAAGATAATCTTCCTTCTTTAAAGCATGATTAAAAATATTTGGTTTTCCTCTCTCCATTTAAAACTTTTGGAAATGGAATTTATGTGGGGTTTTTTTGTTTTGTTTTTTTCTTTTTAATTAAAAAAATATGTTTTTCTGTCATATTTGAGATGAAGGTATGATCATTGTGGAATTCCAGCAAAAAGTAAAATCACTATGTTTAAAATTGTGACTTGAATAATGGGGAACGATTATAAATACATAATTCGATATTTGGAAGTAGCCGGTTCACAATTTATCAATATGTTACATGAAAGAGATCACTAATTGTTTCCAATTTTATGTACTTTTACATAGAATGTCATATGTTTGCTTCCTGAAGATAAAGTGGAGGTTGCAAGAGACCTGTGTGTGCTATTGTGTTTCTCAGTTGTCGGCTACAAAACACTCCCCTATCTATATTAGTCAGAGTTTGAAAGGTTGCCATTCCATGTTTATTTGGTATGGAAGCTTAACCTGTATTTGTCAAGCCAGAACTGCAATACTAGGAAAGGGTGTCATTCAGATTATCTAGTTGTTGTGAAATTTGGAATAGAAGAAACCTTAATTTAAATGGAAAACATGGTTCCCTAAGTTGATATCCAATTAAAATTAAACAGACACACAAACTGCTAACATATGTAACCAGAACACCACAGTAATTTGATTTAAGATGGGTTTTATCCTCTCAGATTGCATGAGTGGAAAAACTATCCACAATAACAAAAATGTCTTATACATGTTGCTCCTAAAGTCAGCTATCTGGAGCTGGCTGGATGCAAATCTTCAGAAAGCCAGTTGCTCTAATTGCTGCCTTTGGGTAGTGCTCAGAATTGCCAGATAGCAGTGAACCTGACAGATGGTGAGCAAGAGCTATTCACCTGACAGAACTTCTGAAAACACTCTGTTTTGTAAAATCTTCTCAGCGTGTGACTTTGTTCCAGTTCTAGAAAAGACAATCTAAAATTTCCTGTGAAAAAGCCCTAAACTTCTGTGAACTGTTGTCACCATAATTTGGATTTCCGGTATCTTCTGTCTGCTTTTCACCAGTGTGTCCGGGTTTTGCTATGGCTGTCTTTTAAAACTCCCCCTGTAGGGTCCTGTTACAAAGCTTTTGCCAAGCTGTGCAATTTTGTGATGCGGAAATAAATAATGTCTGTGTTTCTACTGAAAGTTATAATCTCTTACTAATTCAGATGTCAGCAACATACTTATAAAAACAACATAAATTAGACCTTTCTTCACATGTTTTAAGAGTATATTCTAGTCTGTCCAGAAAAATTTAAGGGCTATTTGCATGCCTCATCTACCAGCGCTGTGAACTACTCATGCAAATAGATTTAAGGGGTAAGTAGACAGTTAGATTCACAGAGTCGTAGAACAACCTAGGTTAGAACAGACCTTGAAAGATCACCTGCTCCAGCCTTTCATGGGAAAGGGTGCCTAGATGAGATTATCTAGGACCCCATCCAGTCGCATCTTAAACACCTGTAATGATGGAGACTCCACCACATCCAAGGGTAGGTTGTTCCAGTGACTGGTTGTTTTCACTGTAAAAAATTTCTTTCTAATATCAAGATGAAATCTCTCCCTGTGCAACTTGTACCCATTGCCCCTTGTCCTTGCTGTGTGGCTCCTTGTGAAGAGAGCCTCCATCCACTTTCCAGCCACCCTTTAAGTACTGGAAAAACCGTGATGAGGTTCTCTGGGGTGAAAACAGCTAACTCCTTCAGTCAACTTGTTCTTTAGTAAATCAAAGAACTAGTAAGAAGGAAGTGGCACTACTGCACATTAAAAAAAAAAGTGCATTTTTTTTTCCTGTGCTTTGCATAGGGAATACAACTCCAATACCTTTTAGGTGGGAATGCAGAAGGCTGCTTTGCTGATGGTGGGAAAACAAAAGGTGGGAGAAGATCTGGCAGCAACATTTGCTTTCACTGTCTTAATAGGTGTAAAGCTATTATCTGGAAACAGCAATTTCAATTAAAAAATAGTTAGAAGTATAAATTGCCAGTCAAAAAAACTCTGCACATTTTTCATAAATGGAAAATCATTTTCTGTGGAAGATTTGAAAGATTTTGGCTTGCTGCAGTAAATCTCCATCAGGAAAATAAACTGGAGATGATGGGTGGATTCTGCTAAATTATACCAGATCTGAAGATATTTCAGTGGAGCAGAGTAGAGCTTGTGCCCAGAATAGCTGTGCGCAACGTACAGTTGCTGTTGTATTGTTTGCTTTTCAATATGTACTTAAAAAATGTTTGTGTTTCAGCCTACAACTCATCTGTAAAATTTGAAGGAACAGAAATCATCTAAGTTATTTTTAATGTGGAAGTTTAATTCAGTCATAAAAATAAGCCTGATCTCAACCCGAAAAGAAGCAATTAACTGAGTTCACAGAATTATAAGCGCTTGTGGTTTGGCACTTAGGCATGGGTTTGTTGAATTGACCATTGCAGGGTAAGTGCTGACTCTTCACTGATGGGGCCAATTAAGCTTAATGCGGAAAATCTACTCTGTGTTTCTACATTGTGTTTTTCTTTTTTAAAGTGATAATTAGTGCCGTGAAGTGTACCAGACTGACCACACTAGCGACTGAAGTCCTCTTAATCCTTAGCGGAAAAAATAGAACAAAAAGGGTAGATGAGCTAATTCAAAGGTGTCGGCTGAAACTGCTGAGAGACTAATCCTGTGCATGGTTCTTGCACTGGTTTCTTTAATGCGCTTTGAGCCGACACTTGATTTCTGTATTCCCTAGCATTCCAGCATGCTAATGGTAAATCATGCTGTTGTCTCTTTAAGGGGAAGAAACAGTGTCAATTTTCAAGTATTTCCATAATGAAATGTGTGTTATTCACAGACACGCATTTCATCCTTAAGTCAGCCCATGAAGAATTTCTATCTAGGTGGCTCAGAAAGAGCCTTTAAGAGTCGATAATATGTTTATCCATCATCCCCTTGTTCCTTTACAGTACCTTTACTCCTGAGTGTTGCTGATTTAATTTACTCCTATCTGCAAAGCCAATTCAGTCTGGCTGAAGGCACTTCATTATTGGACGGTTACTCTAGCAGATCCATAGTACTGCAGCCGGCTCCAGAATGCGCAGCCTTTGAGTTCCGATTGCCTTGGTCCCACTCAATTTGGCAGTCTGTTGAAGGACTTCGCTACCGCTGTTGGATATCAAGAATTATGCTAAAGTGATGACTAAATTAAACTTTGTAAGTTCCAAAACAAGACTGTACCTTGAAATAGACACCCTCCTGTGATTTTTCAACTTCAGTTCTTGCTGTTAACAGTCTTTTCACTGATGTAGCTACTGTTTAACTAGATGCCCACCAGCAGCCATGTAAACTGTGGTCACTGATCCAGTGCAATAGAAAGGGAGGACTCAGTAGCACAACATCTGTTTGTGTTTCTTCCACTTTTCCCTCCTTTGCTTTGTAGTAAAACCTCTCTTCCGCAGCTGCTTTATTTAATGACCTCGATAATACACAGTACTTGCTCTAAAAAGTTAAAGGAAAAATTTTTGAATTTTTATTTGAGTTTATGAAAGTGTACTTGAAAAATTGGTCAGCTCAGAGTTATTTCTGTCCCTTTCCCCATGCATATGCAGTAAGGTAGCAGCAAAGAGCAGGAGCCAGATGAAATGTTCTAAATGATTGCCATTTGGGAGACAGCGCCAGGACAGCTGCAAGCGAAGGGGAGGTTCTTGCAGAGTTTGCTAACGGAGAAAAGAGCCTCTTATGGAAGAGAAGGAAGAAGGGAATGGAAAGGTCATGCTTATGTTTGCAGTCTTTGCATTAATCAAAACTTGTGGAAATACAGCAAGAGTAGAATGCATCCCGTTTATCAGCTTAACTAAAAAAAATGCTGATAAAAGTAATTTACACTGCCTGCACACATGCCATAACCCTTGTACTAGGAACCCAGGAACGCCAAGACACTTGGTTTTTTCATATTTCACAGAAACTTGGGCACATTTTGTTCAAAGAGGAAAACCTCATGAACCTTCATCAAGTCTAGTGTAAATAACTTTCTAACTTTCTTCTGCTGGGTGGATTTGATCTGAGCTTGTCAGATCCTGTAACATTTAAATGGAATAATGACTTTAATTTCAGATGAACAGAAAGGAAGTAAAACTCAGATCCTGCTTGGGAATAGAAAATGTCAAAATGTACAGACACTGCTTTAGTACCAATAGTATTGATGTTGTGATACGCAAGAAAAATAAAAATCTATGGGTCAGTTTTCCTTTAGTTAATGTATAGCATGGATGACACTTGCTGTGTGT